ACGATTTCAACAAACAATCGGCACACCTATATGAACCAACTGTACTCTTCCTTCCTTCCGATTGTGCCTTTTTCCAAATGAGGCATATTCGTATAGGAACTGGTCAAGCAGAATTAAAAGAGGCTATCCCTATCACTTTAACTTCACTTTCCGATATTTTTATGAGATTATTTATCTTGGCCTAATTTGAATTGTGTGGCCTTATAAGATGTTTAAATAATTTGCTTGTGACCAATTAATAGTTTTTTTTCACAAAATAATGTTATAATTGTGCTGTTAAAAACTCACTGGAACAATCGTATATACTGATGGAATGATAAGTACTTTCTATTTGACTTGCATACTAATTCCAGAATTATCATAATCTGCGATCCGCAATTTAAACATCTATAGAGTTCTAGAAGTTTACCTTCTACAGATTTCTAGAAGTTTCCGTAATTACTATATAGACACCAAAATTTGACTTACATAGAAAGATATAAGTATTCTCAAAAGATCTCTGGAGTTGTTGGATTGACGCTTTCATTTACGTTAACAAAATCATACTAGTTTGTGAACTTATTGGACATATTTATATTCCGTTGGATTCCGTTACAGTTAAGAGAAGAATTCCGGATAAGAATAAGACTTTAGGATCGGTTATTCATATATTTTAACAGCTAAGTTGACATTTCTATTTGTATAATATTTCTTTTAAATTGAATAATAAATCTTGTTAAATTTTATTATTGATTTTTGTTCTTTTTTTTGGCTACAATTTAAATGTGATTTCTGGCCGTAACAGAAATTAGGGGCTTGTCCGGGATAAATATAGGTTGCACTTCGTAAATACAGCTGTTTCTCGAACCACGCCTCTTTTGGGGAGATATAGAATATTCATAGATAATTAATTTTGTTTACATACTGGTTCCCAATTATGATCTCTAGGTTTCATCTCATAGAGACATAACTTGGGAATGTTACCAGTAAATATACATATGCATATTGTTTATATTGAAATCTGTGGTTATACTACAGTCAAGGTAGGGATAGTTAAGAAATTTAGTGTTAGTTTAAACTCTTAGAAGTTCAGGGCATATAAACGTTGAAAATATGCCGCACAGCCCTATATTTTGACCTTTGAAAAAAATTGTAGTGCATATGAACTTTCAATTCTAGGATATGATTTTTTTCAAAACTTCATAGTAAAAGTGGTACAGTTTTAGCCGTAAAAGGAGTTCCTATGGGAAATTGCATTGTCAATATTTACAGAAATGCAACCTATAAGATTAAAATTTTTCTGAATAGATAGAATTTCAGTATTCTATTGAATTAGAATTGTCTTCACATACTACTACCTTGTTTTGTAATTATTTACTTATCACTTAGTCTAGTTTAAATTTCATTTATTAGACATTGAAGGTATGGATGAATGAATTTATCATATTTCTATATTCAACATGTTTTATGTATCATGTTTCTTAATTCAGCAAGTTTTATGTATCATAATTTTTAAATCATGTTTAATGTATCACAATTCTTATATGATTTGCATATCTATAAATACTTGAATTGGATTGGTCAATTAGAATTTTTCTGTTGGTTTACACTTCGATAAACCATGTTACCGAAACTACTTTCGTAATCTATTCATGCGCGATACACATGCTTGCAGGGATCCCGGGAATTTAAGCAAATTGAGATTAAAAAAACAAATGCATAACAGTTGTTTCTATTCTAATGTATTTATAACAAGAAATGAATAAAATAAATGCACTAAAGCTTCGAAAATGTATAAAATTAAAATTTAAATAAAATTCCGCGAAATTTCATGAATGATTTGGCGAGTTTACGTCATGGCAAAACACGACGTCATACGAATGAAAACTTTCAAGGGAAAGATTACTTCGTTACTTGTACGCTTTCAATTCGGATAATATCTAAATAAAATGAAGTTTTGGAGGTAGGTGCTATTTCATTTTAGATTCCGTTGCATTTATCGAACATTTATGGATTTTAGAAAGTCAATATGGCGGCCAACTCCTTAGTTACGACCTGCCAATTGTTCATTTGATGGTAATTATAGTAGCCTTTACACAAAAAAATGTTAATTAAAAATATTTGGCTTAAGAATTATAAGGATTAAACACATTTTTTCTAGAGGTTATTGATGTGTAAACCGGGTCTCTAACTCACAAACTTTACATAAAAGTCCTTCGGACTTTTATTCAGTTTGTGAGTTAATCGCCCCGGTTTACACATCAATAACCTCTAGAAAAAATGTGTTTAATCCTATAATATTTCTTTTGTTTAACGTTTATTATCCCCGGCTTAGTATATTTCTAGGATTTTGATTGGTTAACGCACGTCGTTACAAAACCCATAGCCCCTGGGTGTTGCTAACCCATATACCCGGACGTTGCTAACCATTATCCCGGGGAACTTCACGCAAGTTTTCCTTAGTTCAATGGTTGCTCCTTGTGAAATATTGAATTCTGTAGATTATCCATGATGTCTGTAATTAAATATTTAATTCATTAACGATTTTGTCCTATTATGCCGATTAATTACACTCATTATTAAATGCATCACTTGACTGCCACATTGAAGGAATGGGACTACTGACCTAGCTATGCAAATGATCCACGTTGACGTCACGCTATCTATGACATAACTCTCATAACATTGAGCGCCAAATTTATCCAGTTTCTCTGTCTCCGGATTTAAAACGTTTTATATTTGCCTACCTGTAGGGTTCTACCAAAGGTAGTACCCTACACCCCGTAAAAAATGTGTCAAATTTCCAAATTTCAATAAAACTTTTTTAGATAATAAAAAAAAACGTTGTTTTCACGTTACACTTTGTACACGAATTTCCCTAAAACTCGCCCGATTCGGACTAAGACCGAGGATAAATTCGTTATCTACGTTCATATCCGTAGATATGGGTATTTTAACACCCTTCAGTACCCTGTACACCCTTCGGCTGCGCCTCAGGGTGTACTGGGGTACTTCAGGGTGTTAAAATACCCATATCTACGGATATGAACGTAGATAACTTATAATCTTCCACCTTTTATTTATGATTATAAAAATGCATGAATTATTTTGTACTGGATATATTTTTTGTACCTTAGCTTTCTTTTTTTGGTTGGATTTATCTGAATTCATACCATTCTAATATAATTCAATTTTGGATGTAACACGTCTTCTGAATGGATGAAAGCCTTTTTGTCGATCAGCTCAGACATAAATTTGTTATGTGACCATGATGTCATCAACATTTTTTCATGATTAACTCCTTCAAATGGAATTTAGAATTGAATTATAAGAAATGACTGGAATATGTTTTCTGTCGAAATAACCTCAAACATGTGGTGCTCCGCGGGTTATTCAGTGTGCACCACATTTTTTATATTTCTTCATTCAGAAAAAATATTAGTCATTCCTTAAATAGATCTTCATTGAGATAGTTATAACTGATTTTTTTTTCATATTCCAAAAAAACAATTATGATGGTTAGACAATGAACATGACTTGTTTAAATTTGACAAATACCCGAATCATTGAATGCAAGGGATATAAATGGAATGTGGGGTTTATGAAAACGAGATAGCAATTAAACGACAGATAAAATCGAAATATATCTAGAGGTTTAATAAATACAATACAGTCTTCAACAATGAACATATTTATATAACTCTAGAATGTATAAAAAGTTGTAATTGTTAAACAAATATAACATATCATAACATGTATAACTGTTTCGTTTTCACAAGGAAGGTTAGTTGGTAACAAATAGAACGTTTTACACAGTTGACTTGTTTTTATTTTTTCATGTGAACAGATAATGTCACAATTCAAAACCAATCTTTCATTCTGCTTTCTATGCAACAACTGAACAGCAGCGTTTTTACGTGTAAAATGTACATTTGTTTTCCACTTTTACATGATTTACACGCCTTCTTTTATCGCAGGTTTCAAAAAAATATATTCCAAATTACAAAACATAGCTGCTCTTTAATTTTGACAAAAAATTGAGCAATATGTTAAGTAATTCTTAACAATTATGACCTTATAATTTTACTCAAATAGTTTCGTCCGATGTGTTTGATTGGAACACGTAGATACTACTATAAACAGATGTTGTTCTATTAAACGGTTAGTTGTGTTTGTTTGAAAAATGCATTGTTATATCTTATGATTGCTTTTAACATTTGTTTCGACAATTTTGTTCTGAAGGAACGTCGAGGGATCTGGCTGACAGTGCACTGGTAATAATTATCCTTTATCTAAATGCATTCAACGAAAAAATATTGCTGTTAATTTAATATTCACCCCCATTATTGATGGAAAAATATTCGTTAAGTAATTCCTGTGAGTAACCTGTTGATAAATGATTGTTTTAACAGTACTTAATTGACTGCATGCCTGCAAGCAAACTGTCTGAAAATGTACTGAACATACTGTAGTGGAAAAGACCGAAAACTGACTGAAAACCAAAAGAATGACAATACAACTTATTAGACATATTAATATTCTGTTGGATTCCATTTCAGTAAAGGGAAGAATTCCGGATAAAGAAATAAACTATGGGATCAGTTATTCATATATTTTAACAGTTAAGTTGACATTTCTATTTGCATATTTCTTTTAAATTGAATAATAAATCTTGTTAAATTTTATGATTGATTTTTTTTCTTTTTTTGGCTAAAATTTAAATGTGATTTCTGGTAGTAACAGAAATTGGGGGTTCGTCCAAGATAATGTAAATATAAGATTAAAATTTATTGTTCGGTACACTCTATACCAAGTTGTAAAAAGCTCCAATATGACAAATGTAAAACAATTCTATGGAGAAAACTAAGAGGCTGATTTATGTGCAAAATAGTAAACAGAAAAAAACAAATATGTTACACAACAACAAACAGTCACTGAATTACAGGCTCCTGACTTGGCACAGGCACATACATAATATGGGAGGGTTAAACATAACTGAACTAATTGTAAACCAAACACTCTGAACTTACATTATTTTAATGGCAAGACAAGATAAAAAGTTTTATTAGTACAACATTTTTTATTTAATACTTAAACAATAAACAAAGTCATTTCTACATCCAACAACTAAACAGTTATCATAAACAACAGGTGAGGAAAATATTTGTCCTGACAGGAAGTGCTTTAAAATAATCTCCCCTGAATAGAAGTCAACAATATAGAGATATCCATTAGTAGAGGCAAATGTGACAAACTTCTTTACTTTCCCTTTCTTATGTATGGTACCATTTTGTATAGTGTCAGCATTTAGTTCATTAATTTGCTCAGCTTCAAACAAATTACAAGTGTTGTTTTTACATGAAACATCCTCTTGTTTGAAAACATTAGGAGGGCTACAATTTGAAAGAAAATACATATTGCTTTGAGAATCTTTTCTTTTAGTTTTAGTTATATCATGACATTGATGAAAATAATTTAAAGTGAAAGTAAATGCTGAGGAATAAACAGCTGATTCTACTTTCACTTTCCAAATAAGGTATCCTTCCATTGATAAACAGTACAGGTGACAATCATTTGATCCAGCAAGAATCACATCATCAACAACAGTAGGTGATGAAAACACTAAATCTTCTACTGTGAACGTCCAAGTCTGCAAACAAAAATAAAATTTATTAAAATACATAAAATAAATTCAAAGTCGAACAAAATATGACCAGAAGATGAGTCATCTGCTCATTCTTTGTGATTTTATGATGAAGCATGAATCATACTGTCATTTGATTGATCTATTATCTTTCCAGTACATTCAATATCAGGCCAAACAAAAAAGTATGTGTGTTTACTGTATCCCTACCTACCCTAATTTTTATCCCCTACTAAAGTTTTTTTTAACCATTTTTGATTAAGCACTGTTAAAGTCACAATGTTGCTCCCATAGATTCAAAGTTAAAAAAATTATGAAAAATTAAAAAAAATCCCTACCTACCTATCCTATTTTTTCAGCATGTAACAGTTAACACACATACTTTTCTGTTTGGCCTCATAAGTAATTATGTGCAATAGTTTGAGATTATCTATTTTAGTTTGTTCTTCAATCATTAGTTAAATTTAGGTTAGCTTGTTGCTAGGTGAACAATGAATTTTTCATTAGCTATTGTTAATAAAGTAACAAACTGATCAAATTTGATTGATTGATTGCTGGTTGCTTAACATCTAGTTAAGGTCAAATATGATTTTAAGTCACCTTTTGTTACTTGTCCTATAAATTGACTGACTAGCAATACCTATTCTAACTTTTTTCCATGAGCAGTAAACACAGACACATGTTATTGTAATTTTGTGATACAACTAGCAAAAAAAAATCTGAACTTCATTGTTTTGTACACACTCAAGTATATACATGTGTCATTTTTTTTAATATGATGAAATATTATGAGGAAATGTAAATTCTGTTCAAACAAATTGATCTGGCAAATTCAACAATCAACAAATAATTGTAGTGTTTGCAAAGGTCACCTCTCTTACATCAGGTCTGTTTTATCTTGTTCTGATGGTGACCTCAATATCCAGATTCGACATATCATATGTAGTGTATCTATAATCTGATTTATGGTTGCAAAGCTCAATGCTGTAATAAAGGTATTTCTACAAGTGTAAGGTGTAGAAGGGAACTACAAAAATTAAAAAACCACACGTTATAAATTTCATACATCCAAAGTGCTTTTCTGATTTACCTACATCAGGAATGATCAAATTCTCACATATTTTCAAATATTTACCTTTTGGCCTTGAAAATTGATATGATATATTTGCTTATTAACACAACCAACACATATGCCACTTGTAGTCAGCATTGGTGAAGAAAATACTGGTTTTGTACAATTATGCTTCCATAATAATTTTCCATTGTCCTGAAAAAAAAAATCAGTTAATGTACATGTTTTAGCAGTGCAGATATAAAATTAAAAAAAAAAACAAAAAAAATTTTCCAAAGAATACCTTTCTTACATGTCTCATCTCCATGTTCAGTGAATTGTACAATCTTGGTCAAACCCTAAATTTGACAGCTCACTTTATAATGAACATGTGTGCAAATTTTCAAGTTGATGCAACTACAAACTACCCCGAATCAAAATCTGAACCTGAAACAGGATAGACAGATGGACATCATAAGCAGGTAATGATGATGAATGGTCACTCTTTGGCCCTGCTTTGTACAAGACCAACATGCTGAGCAGGATTTTTTATCATGCTAGTTTACTAGGAAACAGTTTGCAGGAAGACATGTAACCCTATCCTATCTATGGGTTTTTCTCATTTTTGAATACCTTACGGTGACAAAATGATAGAAGTTTGACAAAGCCGGGGTTCAAACCGACAACCTCCTACACTCAAGGTGAGTTTCTGACACTCAAGCAGAGCACACTACAACAAACCAGCCAGGCTGTTGAAACATTTTTGAGATAACTCTTTTCAAGTTTGTGGTTCCTATATGGTCAAATCCAACCTGCTACCTTAAGTGGCTTGAAGGCGACCTTACAAGCATCTGATGTTCAGTAGTTGTCGTTTGTTGATGTGGTTCATAAGTGTTTCTCGTTTCTCGTTTTTTATATAGATTAGGCCGTTGGTTTTCGTGTTTGAATGGTTTTACACTAGTAATTTTTTGGGGCCCTTTATAGCTTACTGTTCGGTGTGAGCCAAGGCTCCGTGTTGAAGACCGTACTGTGACCTATAATGGTTTACTTTTATAAATTTTGACTTGGATGGAGAGTTGTCTCATTGGCACTCATACCACATCTTCTTATATCTATTTAGTGTCATTCGACAGGACATGTAACAATCAAAAAAGAGTATTTTCTTGAAAAATTTCTTTATATGTTTTTTTTTTTACCTTGTGACCTAAGGGGTACCCTAAAGATTCCCAAGTGTTAAAAGTTTAACTTAAACAGAAATAGAATGTAAAAATTTACTGAAAGTTGAATTTTCTCAAAATGACTTTATTATTATCACACAAAAAGTCACAAGAAATAATCTAGACATCTCCATATGAATTTGAAATGATTTTTCTTCTAAATAAAAAAAAAAAAAAAACGGTGACCTATAATTGCTTACATCTACGTCATTTGGTCTTTGGTGACTGGCTGACACCAAACAAGAACAAGAGTGCACACGTTGAAATGTCTTGCCTGCTTTACTGACCATTGATTTTATTTTGATAGTCCTAAATATAAAGTTTTACTACAAGTATCATATAAACTTAACATGATCAAAGAAAATGAGGTCAAGGTCAGATAATAACTGATAGACAGACATATACCATACACCAAATATAGTTGACCTCATGGACCTATTGCATATAGTATATAAGAAACAAACTTAACCAGGAAAACTTAACAGTGACCAATGAACACTAAAAATGAGGTCAAGGTCATATAAAACCTGCAAAACTGACATGTACAATCGTAAAATATTTCAATACACCAAATGTAGTTGACCTATTGCATACTTTATTAGAAAAAAGACAAAACTTAACTTTAACCACTGAACCATGAAAATGAGGTCAAGGTCAGATGACACCTGCCAGTTGGACATGTACACCTTACAATCATTCCATACATCAAATATAGTACACCTATTACTTATAGTATCTGAGATATGGACTTGACCACGAAATTTAACCTTGTTCACTGATCCATGAAATGAGGTCGAGGTCAAGGAAAACTGCCTCACAGGCATGAGGACCTTGCAAGGTACGCATATACCAAATATACCAAATACAGTTATCCTATTACTCATAATAAGAGAGAAATTGAGATTACAAGAAATCTTAACTTTTTTTCAAGTAGTCACTGAAGCATGAAAATGAGGTCAAAAACAATGAACATATAACAGACAGAAATTTCATAACACAAGGCATCTATATACAAAGTTTGAAGAATCCAGGTATTCTATCTACTGAAATATTAAGCTTTTAAAAAGTTTGTTAACTCCGCAGCTGCCGGATCACTATCCCTATGTCTGGCTTTCTGTGACAGAAGTTGCATGCTCGACAAAAATTATCAATAATTTCCATGAAAACAAGATGTACCAATTCTTGTACAACTCCATACCAAATCTCTACCACTAGTTGTTTACCTTAAACTGACCTATTCACAATCAGTCAGGGGTACTACTTGCACAAGTTATTTTAACTTCTTGAAGAAGTAAATATTAATATACTTATATAAGTAAAATTGTAAGATATTTATACAAGTGTATTTTATTTGCTTGTATAGGCAAATTATTTTAATGGCTTAGTTATTTTCCTTAGACATTCAGATATTTTTACTTATACAAGTAAAAAAGTCATACTATCTTCTTTTCTTGAACTTCTCAAGACTTTGTTCTAATAGAATTTTTAATTGTCTGTCCTTTGCAGATGTCTTTACTTATCATTTAAGTGTAATTTCATGGACAATGAAAATCTCATTTGTCTGTTATCTTCAAAACACTGCTCATTTACAAGCCTCCAAGGGGCAATTTTTGAAGGCCTTGCGCAATAACTTAAGATCTTTGCGCAATTAGTTTCTTTGTTGAATTAATGAGATGAAACATTGAACTCTAATAAAAAATTATGAGCTAACCAGAGAAAAATTGTTTAAGGCATGTTTTTACATCCCAAAACTTGAGAATTTTAGGGATTTAAAAAAAAATTACTTATGCAAGTAAATTTTTTGAGAAAATTAAGGGGAGATTATTCAAACCTTATAAGAAAATATGAACATAACAAATTTACTTATATAATTATATTATTATTTACTTCTTCAAGTAAATAAAAAATAACATGTACAAGTAGTACCCCTGACTGACTTATACATTCTTTAAGCAGATGCCGCTGCTGCCTCCTGGGGAAATAGCATGCCATAGTGCCTCTTTATAACTTGGTCGAGCCGAAATAAAAAGGCAAAAATGTTTTGGCAAATGTCACACTAGAGAGGGTAACAAGGCATATTCTTGTGAATAAATATAAATTAAATACAACTTTAGTATAAATTTTAAAAAAAACAAACAAGAAAATTACATATCAATGCTTTCAACCATTCAAAATCATGGATACTTATATAAGGTGAAATCTATTGGATAATACTTACTCCATGTAATGCTGCTACAATTCCTCCCAGAGTGGCACAGAAAATCAAATGTGGTTGAGATGAAACACATGGTGATGCAAAGATACTACCGTGGCCAATCATGGTACACCATACTTTCTTTTTAACCTAAGTTTAAGTCAAAAATAAAAATAATCAGAATTAAAGGGTACAAGAGGGCAACTATCACCATGATTACACTATATGGCCCATTTTCAATATGATACATTTCTCTCTATTCAATCTATGATAAATTAGGAAATCAAATCACATTTTTTTTGACAGAATCATCAGTGAAATTTATGTTGTTTTATTTCAATGAAAGTAAACGAATTCATAACCAAAAAAAAATATTTTGAAAATTGTCTCCATGCAAATTTGCACAATTCTAGTTAACTATCTCCACTTGCTATGCATTATATGGAGAAAATTTGACAATTCTTAGTCAATCCATAAAACACCAATTTTTACTGTAAATTCAGAAATTATTGTGTACATTTATCATTGCTATTTTTCAATAATGGACAAACTTTTAGAGATAAATTATTGCGATCCTCACCCAGTGGTATTATTCCAATTAATAAAAACCTCATTGCAATTTCTGAATTTACAGTATTCAAAATTCCTTCTACAGGCTCATAAATATGAGTTTCACTGATTCTTTAAGGCTGAACAGGGACTTATTGTTGCTTAAATCCAATTCATTTGCACTCTGTTAGATAGTTTTCTCTTTGACAATCATACCATATCTCCTAACTCTATATTAAAGCTTACTTTTACATCTACTGCATGCAAACATTGATCATGTGACCCACATATAACCAATGAAGTGACAGGATCTACAACTGGTGAGCTTTTAATCTCTCCTCCAGTTTGGTATTTCCACCAAATATCTCCATTCATACTGTTGACTGCATATAAATTATAATCATAACAACCTGAAAAAGTGACGATAACAATCTTAATCTTACATAAGCATAACAATCATGTTTTATACATAATAATCATGTTTTATACATGACAATTATGTTTTATACATGACAATTATGTTTTATACATGTCAATTTGATCCCAGCACTTATGTTGGAATTAACACTTTATAAAATTACAGCCCTGATTTGAGGTTGATACAAAGATATAATGATCTAAAAAAAGTATATGGTTTGAGGACGAAGTCTGAGGTCAATATACTTTTTTCAGGTTGATATATCTTTGTACCGTGTAGACCTCATACAAAGAATACAATTGTTATATAATTATCGTCAACATGTGGGAAATAGAGCAGAAATTCCATTGATCTATTGTTACAATTGTGTCACAATGTAATGAGGATTTTTTCTTCATAAAAATAACTGTGTACCGTTATATCACTTTTCTACATGTATCTGTTGTTTTCAGTCTACCTTTGAAACACATTTGAACATGCAACTCTTTCTAAAGAAACATAAAAAGTTAGAATATTCTACAGGTTTTAACTAACAATAATATGACATATGATTTGATTGGTTTTATTTTTTTCCCTTCAGGGATAAACCACCCACTACGTAAATGCAATATAAATTTGGTGATGTTTTAATCAAAATATTTCAAAATCTAACAAATTATTCCTTTGAAAGTACATCAAATATATACATACGATTTATGCCATGTTTGTTGAGAAATATAGGGTTTTAACTTTATTCTATATGATTGTATATAAGGGATCATAGATTTATTTTTACAAGGAAGCTCTGAGCATGCTCAGAGGATGTAGCAGCTTTTTAAGAATGTTCTTCTCAGCAGTTTATGTGACAATAATTATTATGATCCATTAAGATGTCAATCAAATCTATAGCATTTCTATAGAAAGGAAAGTAAAGCATTATAGAGGAAGCTCAATTAACATTTTTCCTGGATAGAAGAAATGATGTATTTTTGTGGATACTTGGTTTCTTGGTTTTGCAAAAGTTTCAATACAAACCTATATGAAATGTATACTTTTCTGAGCATTTGAAGTATTGAATTCGTGGTTAGCTTCAACCTAGAAAAATTGGTACCCAATGAATAATGATGCATCCACAGTATGCAAAAATTATTCCTTTGTAAATCATATAATTAAAAAGAAACCTATTTGTAATCAAATGACAAAAATTAGGATGGTATATATATGAAGAACATAAATTCACTAAATTTTCCAGAGCATGAAAATGACATACCGACAACAACAAACTCTCCACATAAAGTAATGCAGGCTGAAGATTCTATTCTATTTCCAAGAGTTGTCTCCCATAGCAACTGTCCACTATCAAACAATATGGCCGAAAATTTATGAGAATGAGATCCAATGAACACGGCCATTCTTCCATCACTGAAACTATTCATACAAAATAAGACTAAATAATTTAATATTGTCTTTCCCTTTTAAAACACAACACATGAAACTTAAAAGCAATATATGTTGAAATGTTTCACCTTTATTCATGAAATCCACGATATTTGGTGTCTCATGACGAGTAATAGCAAATCCACAGTAGTATATGTTTTACAAATACTCCTTCATATTGTTTTCCTCTTGTGTAAAATCTATCTTATGGTGGTACCAAACACCTTGACTAAAATTAATTTGGTTCATTTAATTTTTATAAAATTTTGACGAAATATTTACTTTGACCCTTTGACAAAAATGTAAAAATTTCAAAAATTTTATCTGAAAAATTTCATTGGATATAAATATTGCAATTTGACAAACACTAATTTTGATCATTGAGAAGCTTATTATTTTCTTAACAATAAAATGTGATTAAAACCTTCAGCTGATTTTTACAGAGTTATCTCCCTGTAGTGTTATGTACCATCTTATATGCAGTATTCTATCATACATTCTGGTACAAATCATGCAAATCATATGTAAAGAAGTTAACAATTTAGGGAAATATTTGTGTATTGCTGAAAAAAAAAATTACAATTTATAAATTTTGTGTTTCACGCTATTTTAATAAAACTATTCTATATCAATATTATATTAAAATTCTTTTGACATTTATGCATGTATGTGCGTACTGAAATTTTATGTATAATTAGTTATATGCCTGTAAGTTATATTGTGTCTGGAAATAACGTATTATCTCTCTTCATGTTCATGATGTTTTGTTATATTATTTCAGCATCATCAATAATATACAATGAAATAAAAATAATACAAGCTTTGGACACACATGTGTCATCAATTAAATATATATCTATATATATAAAACAAGTTTTGTAATTTAGAGAGCTGTTATCAGAATTTACAGATTATATAGTTCTATTCTTTCTGTTGTCAAAATGAATATCTTCCTTTGCAAAAAAACGAAAAAGTGTAGAAATACACAAAACTGCACCTTATGTGCTTATTCAATTAAAAATACAATTCTTCCTCATGTTCCTTGTCCTTTTGTCTCTGGCAGATCATACCACAGATTCTGATTTCAATATAAAAATACATTTTTTTCACAAATTCTGATAAACATGTTAAATAAAGTCTAAAGGGGGGTCGCAATTTTAGAATTTGTATGGTGAGGCATGGAATCAATGCAAACTTATTATAAAATTACAAACCTCAATGAAGCTATAAGTGGAGAAGCATCAACACATTTTCCTGTGTTATACATCCATTTTTCATTCAAGGAAAAACCACATGTACTTTTGGTTGTTGGTGTTTCTGTAGGTCTATCTTCTATTTGATTCATATTCTTATTAAAGCCAAATTTGGAACTACTGACTGCCATAAAACTATGTAGATCTGACTCTACATCACATTCATTTACAAAATAGCTAAAATATTTAAAATCAGAAATTGTGTTGTCCATATGAACCAGACAATTGGAGCATCTGTTACATCTAGATATGCATATCATTTTAAATCTAATTGGTGTCAAGTTTAGTAAGGATAAATCAGTTTTCTTTTCCCAAACATTTTTTCTGATCAGATCATTTTCTGGGGAATGCTGTTCATCCAGGAGTTTTTCAGTGTCACTAATTTTCCTTTTCCTTGAAATCTTATGTAGATCAAATTTATCTGATACCTCCATAGATATGGTTTGATTACCTAAATTTTCATAATTTGACCTGTCTTTTGATAAAAATGGTTTCATAATGCCTTTGTTTTGAATTTTGTCAATTTCAGCAGTATCTAGTTTCTTTCCGATAGTAAACATTATTTCTTTAAAAATTTCACCAAAACTTTTGTGCAAAATATAATCCAGTAACCATGGAAACTGAATATTCAAATCAGTTTGTATCCTATTGGCTAGTTGTACTGCCTGCAAGGAATTCCCACCACTGAATATAAACATTGCCTCTTCTTTCACCTCTCTGCTAATAACTAGAATTTCCTGTAAAAAAACATAAATGTTTATAAAGTGGTTTGTTCTTTTTTCTGTTTGGTTTGTAAAAGGATCAGGGAGTAACTAATTATTCTTTTCCATTATTATTTTTAATCAACAGGAAAACCTATGTTTAGTTTCAAGGAGCCTTGCAATTTGTTTAAATGAGTTGTCGTTTTAGCTGTTTGTCACACAATGTCTGCCTAAAATGTTATTGCAAATGTTTGTATCAATTATCTTGCACAAAAACCAATCTTACAAGATGCTATGTCTTAGAAATATTTTGAGTATCAAAATGTGGCAGGAGATAATAAACTTACATGGTGTCTCATCAAACATACTGTTTTTCTTAGATGTTTTTCTGCTTTGTATCAATCTGATGAGTGATTTCAACTGATTTTTATAGTTTGTTCTGATGTTGTACTGTTGAACCACTGTCCCAAGGTAGAGGAAGGTTGGTGCCTTCAAACATGTTTGACCCCACGACATTCTGTATGTGCCTATCCCAAGTCAAGAGTTGTCCAAGAGTTGTCATTTGATGTCTGTCATTTTTGTTTTTGTAAATTGTTATATTATAATTTAAAAAGGCTGTTAGTTTTGTCAATTGAATTCTTTCCTATTTTTCATTTCGGGGCATTTTAAAGTCAACTATACAGTATGGGTTTTTGCTCATTGTTGAAGGACGTACAGTTGCCTATAATTGCTTACATCCACTTAATTTGAATTTTGGTCATACGTGCCAACCTCTGAAACCTTCAAAGAGGGAGATCTCCCCCTCAGCTATGCGTGAATGACATTTTCAAGTTAAATATATGACTTGTTTATTTATTCATCTACACAACACCAATAAAAGTTAATGAATATGCTTTATTTCTTCAATTCATGGATATAATTTATACAACTATTATATCAAGGTATATTTTTTTTTTGCCTTTTTCAATATGTCAGAGTCAAATAATTCATAACAATTTTTATTTTGATTTTGTTGTGAGTCTCACACTAAGCATGCTTTCAAACGTCATACAGACCACCAGAAGAAACCGAAAAGTTGATTGAACATGATGTGCAAAATGAAGACTCATTGCCAAGTGAACTTGGTCGTATAAATTAAAAATATTTCATTCAATCTGCTTGACATTTCGATTTGCAATTATCTATTTCTTCTCAAAATGGGAGGGTTGGCAGGTATGACTTTGATGGATAGATGTCTCATTGGCAATCATACCACATCTCCTTATTTTCATATCGTAAATTCAGTAATTTTTGCATACAATTATTATCATGATTATTAGAATTATTAAACAATGGACAGATATACACCATTAATTATATTTGCAATCTCAGAAAATACTGCATACAAATAACGCTATAAAATTTCAAAATGTGAGTATCTATTTTTGTGAAACCTATCCTGTTGCATTTTTTCAATAATAAAAAAATAGCAAAAATTTCTGAATTGATAGTACGGTATGCTTATATTAGAGTTCTCTAGCCAAGAGTTCTGATTCCATGTAGTTGTTATATGAACAGCTTGGTACACAACAAAGTTTGTCAACTACTCTTCATATTTTCACTAAATGAAGTTTGAAACACACTTTTTCTCCATTAACGATGATAATATTTGACTGTTAACGTGCAGTGGGTAATATTTCATGTATATGTTACAGTGAATTTGTATAATCAGGGATTATGTAGAATCCCTGATTTTTCAGGGATTATGTAGAATCCCTGATTTTTCAGGGATTATGTAGAATCACCAAAATCATTAGTGATTATATATAATCCCTGAAAATTACCAGTGATTTTACATAATCACTGAACATTTATATAATTATTCTACAAATTCCCTAGTATGATTTCAAGGATTATCAATAATTCAAAGATCCTGTGTTTGATAAAAATTAAATAAAGATAACTTGTCATTTGTGTTTTCTTATTCCTTGAAAGTTTAAGTGAACAGTAAGTATTAAATTGTTTAAAGGCTCCTACCATCTCTTATATTTCATATAGATTACACTCTTTACATCCTTATACATTAACATAAGGTTGGGGCTGGTGGGCATGGATCTAAAAAAAAAAAAAACTTAAATATCTGACGATGATATGCAATCTATTTAATTTCAAGTTCATCATGGTTTACCAAGATCATTTATATGACAAAACATGTTCAAACTGTAAATCCACAGTGCATTTTATTTGTAGTGAAACAAATGGTGAGGAAGGTTATGAAACATCTGTGTTTATTTTGTGTTCAAATGAACAAGAAATTAAAACTGAGAGAATTGACGCAACTAAATGTATAGACAAATTCGTAAGGGTTCCGCGGAACCCAGTGTCTCGCCTACTTTTGCTGTTGTCTATGTTTTCAGTGTGATAGGATAATGCACATAATAGATTTATTTAACAGTTACTGAAATGGTTTGTGTATCTAATAAATGTTTTAAAAACTGTAACTGCAGACTGAATGTAATGTTAGCTGGAAAAAAAACTAAGTCCATTTATAAGTAATGTACGGATAAACAGGAAATAATTTGTTTTTAAATTTCTTTCTAGATACTAGCTTTTGATCATAAACAAGTTTCTGTCCAAGTTTGGTACAAATCCAGGATAGATTAAGAAAGTTATTATTTTCTTTTTTAAACTATAACCACAGAGTGAATGTATTGTTTGTTTTTAAAAATATTGTGCTTAATATTTTAATATCATATGCTTAATAATTTAGTATATTGTTCCTAACATTTTGATATGTTGTGCATAACATTTTAATGTATTCGAGGTTATCATTTTAACATTTTGTGCTTTACATTTTACAATCTATATGTTTATAATGATGTTTTAATATGATTTTAAAGAATGAATTATTTAACTTTTATTCATTTTCTATATAAATGAAACTAATTCTTTATTTCAGTTATTCTGTATAATCCCTGACATTTATTCTAGTGATTATACATAATCCCTGAAAATTTTAGTGATTATATATAATCCCTAAACTAACCAGTGATTCTACATAATCCCTGAACATTTTAGGGATTCTACATAATCACTGATTATACAAATTCACTGTAACATATATAAGGATGAGAACATATTCAAGTGCTATGAATATGAATCCTTCTTAGTACTAGACCAACAAGGTAACAGTTAGCAGGAAGACATGTCACCTTAGAGCCCAATATCCTTTGCTTTTGCTCCTAAGTGAGGCATATGTAGCAGAGAAGCAGCACAAATCCAATTTTCAGGCCTTTGGTTTGACCCTGCCAATGATCCAAAAAATGACCTCCCTCACTCAAGTTTAGTATGCTATAACAAATGAGGTAGTTTTCCTCCACTGAAGGTTACCTTATATTAAAATTTTTTGAAAACCTCTGTCAATCAAACAAACAAAACTGCATGTAGATTTTACATACCTTCCATACTTTAGTCAGATATTTCTCCATATCCTTTTGAATTTCTTTTGGCTCATCAGAACATTCAGAATTAGCTTTTACAATTTTCCACAATGCTTCTACATCACATTTACCTGTAAAGCACATTGAAATTTAATAATATACTGAGAGGGGCCTCGGTGGCCGAGTGGTTTAAGTAGTTACTACTGTAATCACTAGCCAGTCAACACTGAGGTTGTGAGTTCAAACCCCGCTCGTGCGGGTGCACTTGACTCCAATCTTAATTGACTAGGATTGTCATTTTTCCTATCGAAGGTCAGTGGTTTTCTCCGGGGCACTCCAGCTTCCTCCACCAATAAAAACTGGCCGCCACGAAATAGCCCAAAAGCGGTGCTTAAAAGTGGTGTTAAAACACCAAAAATCAAAAATCAAAATCAATAATATACTGAGTAAAAAAATTCAGTAACATATATTTTATTTAAAAAAACTTTAAATAACAAAATTTCTAAAGTTGCAGAAAGGAATTTTTAATAATTTTGTTTGTCATGTTTGTGGAGTAAAAATAGTAACTTATTGTTTATTGCCCTTGTTACAATAATTGATTTATTGTTATGTTTAAAAGTATGGAAATTTGCAACCAAAAATGTGTGTTGCTAAACTCTGTTTACTCAGTATACAGAAGATATGTCAAGTGGGAAATTTTACACGAATCTTGATACCAAATTTCAGGAAGTTCTGATTTGTAGTTCCAGTTAAAATGTGACATAAAAAACATCATCAATGGCTGTTATGTGAAGGTATATATAAGTATATGGTAAACAGGAATTTGATAAGTGATGAAGGTAAAAATGTGTCACATGGTATATATATCATACTCAAAGAAAATCTTCTACCATAATTAAGGAAGCTCCAATTTGTAGTTTCTGAAAACAAGAGTGCACACGCTGAAATGTCTCGCCTGCTTTACTGACCATTGATTTTATGTTGATAGTCCTAAATATAAAACTTTACTACAAGTATCACATAAACTTAACATGATCAAAGAAAATGAGGTCATCTTCAGATAAACAAAGCCAGAAATACATGTACATCTTAAAATCATTCAATACACCAAATATAGTTGACCGATTGCTTATAGTATACAAGAAACAGCTTATAGTATACAAGAAACAGACCAAAACATGAAAACTGTATATTGAGCCAAGAACATATGAAAATGACTTCAAGGTCAAATAAACCAAACGGGACAGACATATGCATCTTAAAATCATTCTATGCTTTAATAGAGAGTTGTCTCATTGGCACTAATACCACATCTTCTTATTTACAATGTATATTTAAATATAGTTGACCTATTGCACATAGTATCTAAGAAACAAACTTAACCAGGAAAACTTAACATTGATCAATGAACCATGAAAATAAGGTCAAGGTCAGATGATAACTGCCAGACAGACATATACACGTTACAATCATTCAATACACCAAATATAGTTGATCTATCTCTCATAGTTTAAGAAAAACAGACCAATACACAAAAACATTGAGCATAAACCGTAAAAATGAGGTCAAGGTCAAATCAAACTTGCCAGACTGACATGTACATCGTAAAAATATTTTCATACAGCAAATATAGTTGACCTATTGCAAACAGTATAAGAAAAACAGACCAAAACACATAAACTTAACTTTAACCAATGAACCATGAAAATGAAGTCAAGGTCAGATGTACACCTTACAATCATTCCATATACCAAACATAGTAGACCTATGGCTTATAGTATCTGAGACATGGACTTGCCCACGGAAACTTAACCTTGTTCACTGATCCATGAAATGAGGTTGAGGTCAAGTGAAAACTGTCTGACAGGCATGAGGACCTTGCAAGGTACACACATACCAAATATTAGTTATCCTATACAGGGATGATTCCATGTGTTTTCAAATGGGTCCCTTGACTATCAAATTGGGAATTTTTTATACATCAAATCAAAGACAAAATAACATTATTTTCCTGTAAAAATGGAAAATGTATATTAAGTTTCACCTGTACACTGCTATAAGAGGTTAAAACATTTTGAATAATCCTGGACGTGCTACTGATTATGATATATATGATTACCAGATCATTTGACGGTTACTGGATTGAGACCAGGGAAGTTGTTACATGAAGATCCTTGCACATGATGCACTATCTTTTGTAGGCTTGCATCGTAGCTATGGTAACCTAGGCCTTTTACATGTATAACAGATAAACATAAACCACTAAAAAAAATTATCCATTCGATTGGGTATTTCTTTCAACAACAGGTCATCTTTATTAAATTTTCATTGATTCAGATTGATTTCAAATTGAACTGGTCAATTGTCGAATTCAAAAAAGCAATCACGTACAAAAGTTTAAGTACTTAACTGATAAGATATTTTTGTGATTTTTGCTTGCTGTTTGATATGTAGTTCAATTAAAGCATTGAACCATTGTATTTAGATATTATTTGGATCATCTCCACAACTTTTTAAACAGTTCCATAATGTTGACATTCTATTTCACAAATGATCTATCATCCACATGTATTTTCAAAATACTCAAACTTTTGTCTTTTGAGGAAATAGAGCCTGACAAAATATAAAACAGTGTTCTCCACAGGCTGTTTTAGCGTCGCGGCACTGAGACACTATATTTTTTTCCCGTGATGCTATAACAATTTCCGCAACCCTATAATTATTTTGAGGATGCTATTTTTCTTGTCTGCAAAACCATGTCCTAAATTTTGAACTTTCATCTAATTACCGCTTGTGATCATAAAAATTATATCACCTTTTTATTAAAATAATTTCTTTTACAAAACAAGTGTTCATCACATTATATTATAAGCTCTGCTGAGCAATCTGCTTTTACAAGATCGGCACCAATTAAATTCATCAGTGTTATATCAAAATCTAAATTTTGCTCTCTGCCAAGGTCTGCTTTAGTGAAACCTATTTTGACAAAAAGCATCTTTTTTATCGACCTGCTGGGCAATCTGTTATTACGAGATCAAATACTCCCGTAACATTTTCATCAATTAAATCCTGCTGCTAAAACGTTTACTAATTAAATCGTTGTTAATTAAATGCGATCGTTGACAGCAGTCTTATCCAGATTTTAAAACGCTTTGACGACAAATTTGGAAAAATTATACTTGCCTAAATCGGTGACAGAAACATTTCAGGAAATATCGATTTTCCGTTCATTTTTTCCTGAATTGGAAATTTAAATTCACATAAATTTTTTGGGGTCGCCGGCTGATTTTAGGGCCGCTGAGCAGCCCTAGACTATATAGTAGAATCATCCCTGCTATAATAAGAGAGAAATTAAGAATACTAAAAATCTTAACTTTTTTTTCAAGTATTCACTGAACCATGAAAATGAGGTCAAGGACAATGGACATATAACAGACGGAAACTTCATAACATAAGGCATCTACATACAAAGTATGTCTTCTACCTTCTGAAATATTAAGCTGTTAAGAAGTTTATTAAGACTGCGATTAATGCTGCCATCACCGCTGTATCACTAGCCCTACATCTCGCTTTCTGCGACAGAAGTCACAGGCTCGACAAAAAAGCAAGAAAAATGTCATAAGACAGATGGACAGACTGACAAATGGGTAGACAGACAGGATAAAAGTTTCTCATGGTTGTGGCCCGTTAACCATTTCCAGCTTGGAAAGATATTTCTCATATTACACTGAACAGGGTGTTATGAATAAGTGATATGAAAAAGTGCATTAATTTGGTTGGCTAATCCTGCAATGTGTTATAAAATTAAGTACACTGTCTTATTAAAAAATAAAATAAAAGACGCATGTGTCTGAGGACACGAATTCCTCCAATCAAGCTTTGCAATAGTCCAAGTAAAGAAGGGGCATAACTCTTAAACGGTTAATGACATACTGCCAAAAATTAAACTCTTGTCTGCCTGATGTGGATCTTAGCATTGCCTCTGAGTTTCATAAAATTTGCATGTGGAAATCTTAAGTTTGAGTGCGGAAACGAAAAAGGGATGGACAAAGGAACGGAAGGATGGTCAAGGATAAAACTTAATGCCCCCATTGCCTACAGCGGGTACATAAAAAAGGGATTAAATCATGAAGCCAAAATACAAAGTCATTCCTGCTTTCCTAAAAGCAACATTCCTCAGGCAAAGTTGACCTTAGATTGATTTGGCTATTTTTTAGGACCTTCATTGGTTGTATAGCTCTTCAACTGTTTTGGTTCTTAAACATCCTTGGCTTTCAATTATTTGGCATTGAGTGTTCCTGATGAAGGTTAATCCAGAAAGCGCTTCTGACGCATGAAATTTATAATGTGTTGTTTTCATTTTTTAATATCATATTACCGTGGTTAGTCATTGGTATTTTCTCTATTCTGATGACTTTATCCAGCCAACAATGAGCAGGAAGGCAGTATTCTGTTTGTGTTTTCACTTCGCTGAATAAGTTATTGAATGACGTTGATGTAACCTTGTTTGACCATTCTACAACAACAGCTACTAAAATGCTATCTTTATATAGGACTTTACAAGTCTTTATTCTTTCTAACCTACATACAACCTGAAAAATATGTTAAGATATTAAATAAGATGTTAAATATGTCATGTCATTGTTGAAGCTGTACAATGACATGTTTTTAAATTCCAGTATTTGTAAGAATCAGGCAATTTTGAAAAAAATCAAAACATGGCCAAAAAAAACCACTCACCTAACCATCCTATTTTGAAGTTACCCTCATCCTGAGTTAGAAATGGTAGGTCTTTCATTGCTGCGTGTCTGGTAATTCAGGAAATCTCCAGATAACTTTTGGTTAGAATGATAGCAAATTACAGAGTTAGCTCCCCTTAATTGTTAATTTCTAGTGCATTTTAACCAAATTATATCTTGAAATACCAGAACAGGAAAAGGAAACGAATGTTATATTTGTGCACTATTATACATTTTGAACATAAATTAATGTCAACTTGAGTGGGTTTTTGTTTGTCATGTTTTCACCACTGCCTCATTCTTAGGCAGATTGGCACTTAACTTCAACATCATTTGGTCTATGGTGGAGAGTTATTACATTGGCAATTATACCACATCTTCCAATTTTATTTACAAACAAAAACTGCTCGCCAAATTTTATTTTAATTAGATAATTACTACGCACTTTGGACAAAAAGTTCAAAGGTTACATATTACAGCTGTTTTGAAAAAAAATCATTCAGCTTCTAAAAAAGTCCTTTGAAGAAATAGTTCTTTCTTAATTTTAGTAGTAACATGATGTACACCTTTTAACAATTAAACTGGTACTCTCCGCATTGTGTTTTTTTTCCAATTGCACAGCTTTTTACTGTTTATAGTAATCTGTCATTTAGATTAATCACTGTGATAACTACCAACAGTTGTCATTTATTAAATTATGAAATCAATTCATGTAACAGGGTATAAATGGTTGCTTGTAGGACCAGTTTCATAAATTAGTTTCTATATTTATTAAAGGCTAAAGAATATTTACCTAGCAAATTATCAAACTTGAACTATGTGTACTGAATACACATTCAAATGCATTTAAAATGTATCAGTATTAATGGATTGCTATTGCATTAGACTATTAACCTGCTCAATCTCTCTTAAATCTATCCTTTTCCCATGCCTTTTGATCTGGCTATCTGTTCTCCCAATATAGATGATTTGACCTTGACTATTAATGTTGACAAGGTCACCAGTAGGTCTCAACACTTTTTCTGTTACAGTTTGCTGGTCTTCATTGTTAATGAAACACATTCTATTCAAACTTCCTGCAAACAGCAAATTTGCAAGTTTAAACTGAGTATCTTTTTTTATTTTTGGTCAATCAAAGGAGTAAGTTCGGTAAGAGCCATATTTGGACCCAATTATAAAGTTCAATGTTACAAGATAAAAAATGTTTTAAGTAGACTTAAAGGCATGTGAGAAAGTTACAAAGAACTATTTGTGTCAAAGTTTTATTCTAAAGCGTTGATTTTTACATCCCAAATAGGACAAGATAAGAGATTTTGGCTAAATTTGCATAAATCGGCTGGATTTCAACCAAATTTAGGACCAGGAAACATAGAGCACATGCAGCGATAAACTAAATATACAAGTTAGACATGTAAAATGTCTTTACAAACATTATTTTAAAAGATCTTATTTGTTGACGTATGCGTTCTATGTTTCCTGTCCAATAATCAATGGAAATTTACCCCTTTTCATTTATTTTTTCGTGGAAAATCAAATTGAGTACTATTTGTGAAGTCATGAATAAAACGCAGGTACGTAAATTTTCAAAAAAAGGCTTATTTCCTATCTAGTCACTGTATTAGCTATGATTCAAAGTGATATTGGTCAATAAATCCTAATTTTTAAAATTTAAGCTAAGAAAAGGGGCCATTTTACGGCCTTATCAAACCTACTCCTTTTTTTCTGTTTTCAGAATCTGCTATCTTTTGGAATTAAATGGTTTTAAAACAATTTAAATATTCAGAAATCTTAATGCTGCATGTATTTTTGTGTCGGATAAGATCTTACAATGTATATACTGGTTTTCCCATTTGTTTCTATTTTACTTTGCTTAATAATTTTTAAAAAAATTGATTGTTGGTGTTGAAAGTCATATTCAGCATTCTGACTTTATCGTGACTGCAAGTTTTTATAAGTGGAGGAAGCCAAAGTGACTGGAGAGAACCACTGACTTTAAGCAGTAAAAAAGGTAATCTTAGCAAATTAAGGTCAGAGTCTAACCTACTTGCCATGAGAAGGGTTCGAACTCACAACTTAAGTGTTGACAGACTTGTAATAGCTGTAGATGACTTAAGACCATCCAGCTACAGAGGCCACCACTTACTTTGAATGCCACATAATGGTGATTAATTTTACTTTCACATACCTATGTACAGATATCCCTGTCCATTTTTTATAACTTTGCCATTATCGTCTTTCACAATGAATTCTGTATCAATCATTGGTTTTCCAAGTGGAACATCTTCTATCACCTCCCTTAAAGAAAAGACTCAACACTTACAGAGCGTAAACAAATTTCTATTTTATCAGATTTATACAATGAGCTTGCTTAAAGGGATATTGCAGAAACAAATTAAAACACAGGGTACTTTAATAAAACATGTGTGAGAAGATTCTGAACAGTTGCCACAATAAACGTACACTTGATTTTATTATAAAATTGTTCGAGTGGGCAGTCTTGAACAAAAGCCCTCCACCATCTTCTCCCCCATACATATTTTTTCCTTAACTTTACTAGATTATTCCAATAACTTCACCATTCAAACTCAATTTAATTAAGTCAAATTATTGAAACACTAAGTACATTCAAATTTAAAACTGAATACCTAAAGTCTGATTCTGTCACCTCATAAATAGAGGACCAACAGGATACTTCAGTGATACCATATAAATTGTAGAATTTAGTGCTATTTCCAGGAGCTCTCCATTGTTGAAGGTGAGAAAGTGGTGGAAATTGTTCTCCTCCCAAGGCTAAAACTCTCAGTGATGAATATTCTGAGAGAAGTGATGTCTGAAGATCTGTGAAACCGAATCTGCTAAGTAAAGTTGGTGTACACTGTAATGGAAAGAGAAAACTTTTGAAAAGAATATATTGTTTCCTGTTAAAATACTTTTTTTTATTGTAATATAAAAAATAAGAGGATGTGGTAGGATTGCCAATGAGACAACTCTCCACCAGAGACCAAAGGATGTAGAATTTAGCAACTATAGGTCCCTGTATGGCCTTTAACGATGACCAAACTCATACTGCATAGCAAGCAATAAAAGTTCCCCAAATGACAAATAAAAAGTAATTTAAATGAAAAATACAAAAGGCTTACAGTGTAGCAGGGACTTTTTATACTAACGGGACTGGTCACTTATAACAATGTCTATACAAATTTGCAGTCCAAACTGTGCCGTCGCTGATGTCACGTGACTTCATAGCAAATTATTTCATATTTACTAAGTGTTCTTCATAACTATATGTTCAAGTTTAATGAAGTAACATTTTTATGAAATTTTATACATTTTGTCATTGCAAAATGCTGTTTTTGAAAATATTCCTCGGATAGTTTTTTAAATATAAATCTTTGAACTTTGAGGTATTTTGTTAGTAAATTTCGAGTGGCCGCCATCTTGTTCAATATGTAAACCCTTTTGCACGACTGGAGTGTTCTTCTAAACGATATGTCTTAGTTTAATAATTTAACATTCTTTTAAAATCTTATATTTTTTGTCATTGTAAATGGATATTATTCAGATTTTATATTAACAAATATTAAATTACAATGTACTTTGAAATACGCAAATAAATACTAGCTTCGTATATCAGAGATACGAAACTAAGTTTATTGTTGGGGTGTAGTTTTACACGGGCGGCTTAGTTATTAATTAAAATCAATAGAGACGAGTCCCGTTAGTATAGAAAGTCCCTGAGTGTAGGAACCTTAGTTTAGTAAAATTTAAATGCAATAAATAAAACAAACCTGCATAACACTGACATTATACTTTGTCAGTAACCATAGTAACCTATTTGGCACAGCTTTCATGGCATCAGATGTCATCAGTAAACATGATCCACTACTCAAGGTCACAAATATGTCTACAATACTTGGGTCAAAGGTTAAAGGTGATGACAAAAATACGACGTCTTCTTCTCTTATTCTAAAAGTTCTCCTGAAATGAAGACAAGGGTGCTCATTAATGAAATTTTACATTCTCTATTAAAAGATTTACATGATTTACTTCTCTTTGTATAATTGTATTACTTTTTTTAAATTTTTTTCAGAACATATCGTCTTTAATGAGTGTATTATCTTCAGTAGTCTCTGATAAATTTCTGCTTACTTCCACCTAAAAGCAGCCCAAATCTGGAATCAATATGATTGGCTTTCGGTCCAGATTTTGTTGACCTTTGAATGCCTAAGCTTTTTTGATTTGACTGCTGATTGAAATCTGTCTCAATAATATTAAGTTAAAATCTCTTATTGAAGAACATGGATGATTGATTTGTTTGTAGTTTGCTTAACAACACATGCAACAAGTAGCAAATATTCCTGGCATTTTCAAGACAAATATATGCAAAATTGCTGGAAGCTCTGATTTGAAGTTCCTGAGAAAATTGTGACCTAATTTTAAGGGATGGATGGACTGTGACAAAATTTTAAGGAATGGATGGACGGTTAGGAAAGATATAAACTAAAATTCCCCACTACCAACATAAATTTCATATTTTATAATAGTTAACTTTAAGTTTGCATACATTAAATTAAGATACAACCAATGACTCAAATAAAACTAAAACTTCCTTTGCTACCCCTAAATTGTTTTAATGGAATAGTCCATACCTTTGATATAAAATGTTAGGAACAATACAACTGTGAAGAACTTTGACAATCTTTGGTGTACCAGTAGTGCCAGATGTTGTGATGCAGTATGCCAGGGATGTCCTCTCTGTCTTGGGGTGTGGTGGTCTTTTTATCTTTATTAAGATCATGTTGAGATGCTGTAAAGTGTCGTTACTGATAATCTCAGTACTGAATTGAAAGAGAACTTTTTCTAAAGCCTGAAAAATTGTATGGAATAACCTTGAAACAAAAATTAACGACAAACGAGAAAAATTGTACAACATATTTACGAGGACAAGGACAATGATGATGAATAAGATGATGAAATCCAATGCATGACATATTGATGATTATGATGATGATGATGATGTACTAGACTGACACAAGGTAACAGTCTACAGGAAGACATGTAAGCCTACCAGGACACATGTACATATTATGACTCAGTTCCACATAAATTTGTATTTAATTATGTTTAAGTAAAGCTTTTGGCATGTATATACTAAAAGTGAAAAATCAATTATTAATATAAAAAGTGTACATTTGTAATAAAGTTCACAGAAACTAGAATATCGACTTACTTTTAAATTAGACGACTGAACAAACAAAATATTCACTTTCAGTTGTTCTAACACATTCTGTAAATATCCTTTGCTACTGGCAGTAAAATTCAGGAAGGCATTGCCACTCTTCAAAACCCTAAAGTACAAAGGATTTACAACATACAGCATCATGTTTTTCAGACTTATATACGGTATCCAATACATGTATTATGACCTTTGTTAGTCTTGTATGGTTTTTTAATTTTGGTTCATTCATATGTTTCGGAGTTTAGTGTGACGTCCATTTTCTCTGAACTAGTACACATTTTTGTATAGGGACCAGCTGAAGCCCGCCTCCGGGTGCGGGATTTTCTCAATGTGTTGAAGACCCATTGGTGGCTTAGGGCTGTTTTCTGCTCTTTGGTCGGGTTGTTGTCTCTTTGACAAATTCCCCGTTTCCATTCTCAATTTTATTTACATTTCTGCTACCTATCATCAAATCATAAAATCAGGAGAATTATGATAAATTACATAACTACTACAAAAGCCAGATTTAAACAAAGACTTGCATCACAATTTCTGATCAGTTCAACTATACAGACACAATAGGCATGTAAGGCTTCAATTATCCAATTCTTTACAGAAAGTTATAAGTGATAACAATATTTTACTGTTAAATGAAAATAAAAGCCATCTTGAACAATATACAATTTTTTTGCATAATCAGATAATGATAATTTGAATTTAAAAACAACTAGTGTTTTTATTAATGTGTCTCCTGTTGTTATTACTGAATCATATAATTTAACACATACGCATATATCTAAAAACAACCACATCTCACATCAGCGGTGTCAATACCAAATACTTCGGATTCATCTATTTTCCTGCATACCAATTTTCGTGGATTGAGGAAAATGGTATTTTTGTGGAGGTTTGATTTCCTGGTTTAGCAAGAGTCTCCATACAGACCAATAGTAAAAATTTTGACATTTTAATTCATGGCTTACCTTTACCTACAAAATCCACAAAAATTGGTTTCCCCACGAATAATCACGAATTCACATTAAGTAATATTAAATAGGACACTAAAACCAGTTAATGAACACTTATTCAGCTCCAGATTTCATAGGCCTGTTCCTACATACTCTCTCAATAGTTAGTAAACAAAGGTAATATTGAATTAACAGTCCACATAAAACAAGCAAACTATTGTGGATACTGTGCTTTGTCTATATGCCATTTTGTTTTTCTTTGTCAACATATTTGTTGGTTTTTATAGTGATTAAGATTATAACACAATGTTGACTGCTGTACCCCTTATTTTTGACATTTTTACCTATTATATCTGTTTGTTTTGTTCACACATTGTTGTCAATATAATGGAATTTTATGTGACTGTCATACAAGTGAGAGGTTTAGCTAGCTATAAAACCAGGTTTAATCCACCATTTTCTACATAAGGAAATGCCTGTACCAAGTCAGGAATATGACAGTTGTTTTCCATTCGTTCAATGTGTTTGAGCTTTTGATTTTGCCATTTGATAAGGGACTTTCCGATTTGAATTTTCCTAGTTCTGTATTTTTGTTATTTTACTTTTCATTATTATTTGTGGAATACCAATTTTGGTGGATTTCTGGGGTACAGGTAAACCACAAATTTAAATGTTCAATTGATTACAAATTTCCTAAAGGCTTGTATGCAGACTTTGGTAAAACCATGAAACAAATATCCACAAAAATGAAAGTTTTCTTCAATCCATGAAAATAAATAAGTCCGGGTTTTTGTATTTCATACACACTCAAGTAAAGGCAAAAATGAACACATAGTGGTGCTAAGCATATATATCCCACATGTAATTCAGAGTATCAGAAAACTCATCACTGTCCAGCTGCTGACAAAATTTTTAGTAATTTTGTAAGGAAGTTTCAGAGAAAAGTCAGAAAAAAATAGACATCAAAACAGACAGAAGGACAAACAGACATATACATGTACAGTGACCCATACTTGCTTACATCCACCTCAATGGAACTCTGATGGACAGTTGTCTTATTGACAATCATAACACACTCCATATTTTTATATTGGTCATTGCAATATAGCTCCCACTCCTATGTTAGGGGTATAGAAATGCACATACCAGTATATGGTAAAGCTATTTTTGTTACTTAGGTTCATTCTTGTTTGCATGGTCCATGGTATTCAAACTTATTTAAGTAAACTCTTGATTGTATGGTCCATGATATTCAGACTTACCCTATGAGAACAGCAGGAACATACTGGTTTGGTTCTAAGCAAAGACCAATGACATCTGGTGATTCTGTATGGCATTCAATCAAACTGCTTATCTACAATGTTTTAATTAAGATTATTATGCTTTATGTTGAAATGCCAGATTTTGATTGGTTAGTAGGAGAGAGATAGTTTACTCTATCCCATGGCTTATACTCCTGTCATGGAGAAGCTTGATCAATTGTGCACTTTATTAAATATGGAAGGTTTTTATTTACAAGACAACAGTTTATTTACTTCGAATTTGAAATTTAATAGACAGTAATATCAGAACATTCAGTATAATAAATAAAATAGCACATAGCTGAGAGGGTGATAGACTCAGCTGAAAATTGTTACCCCTCAATTGACAAAATTTTCTCTGGGTAATCATCTGCTTTATTATATACTTAGTAGTAAATACAAGTAAATTGTATTAGTAATACAATCAATGACAATCGTGCTGTATCAGCCATCTGTGATGACATGAGTTTCAGTCAATGTTGCAAAGGTTTTATCAAACCCCTTATCTGTATGACGTCACGTAATCGGTTTCATTCACAGTTACCAAGGCTTTATCAAACTACTAATATGTATTACTTCATGTTTTGTGAAAAAACATCTCACTCAGTTGTTGTTGAGGTACATGTATATAATAAAGTGTATACCATATGCCTTTTTCAACATCACACACCATATCAACCCTCAACCAATATAATCCCTTGAGCAGAGCTCTTGGGATTATAATGAAGTCTGGGGTTGATACAGGTGTGATATTGAAAAAGCCGTATAATATTCTTTACCTAGCTATCACCCTCTCACTTATGTGCAATTCATATTATCATATTTTTTGTTGTAAATATAAAGATATCCACTTCTTCATTTAAGCAAATATTAATTGCTCATCCGATAAGTGGAGTACTCCGAAGTAAGCATAGGTATACCTGAACAGAACAGAACAGAACAGACGCATTAAAACAGAATAATATCACAGAGATTTTGAACACTATATTGTTCTGTCCATCAACATATAGTTATACATGTATGTAAACAGATTTTCAAGAACAATACAAAATGTGCAGCAATTTGAAATAAAAACAGAAATTTTCAATAAATCTTAAGTGTTACAATGAAAGGTCAATCCAGACACTGTGTTTTACAAATTGGGAACTGTATGACACTATAACTAACAAATAAGCTTTATTTATTGCATGATTTACAAAACAAAGACAAAACATAAGCTATACTGAAATGATTTATTTCTATTTTATATGAATGATTTTTTCGTAAGAAATGCCAATAAAAAATGAGTTCGTTTACAGCTTTGACAACCCTGATAATTATTTTGGTATGCTACAATTTTTTGGCATTTAATAGTCCCTTAAAAGTATTGTAATCTTACCTTACTGGCCACTATCATTACTTGGTTATATGCCAAACCTACTGACACCTTTCCATCATCATAAATCACAGCCATTCTGTCTTTCCATTGGTCACAATCTGAGACAAGGTCAAATAAAGTCAGTTCCTTTTTCATTGACTCAATCATAATTGGCTAAAATATAAATTCGACATTTTCAAATTCACAAGCCATTTCAAACCTCCTCTTTGTTAAAAATTACTTAATGGTCTAAAATAATGATATATGTCTATACCATCATGCCTCATGGTAAAAATAATAATCCAGATTGTGTCAAACTCAGTATTTTTTAGGTAAACAACGTTAATACTTTTTACTGTAAATTTATAATATCATGTGTGCTGTTATTTTCTGTGACTCATTTACATTATAATAGAATGTCAAAAAAATATGACATGCAATTTTCAACTATCATGCACCATATGTTTATTTTTGGCAATGATTTGAGACTGTTTCAAAGAACTCCTAATTCAATAAGCTGCTGAAGTGATCTGACCTTTCTAGACCACTTAGCCACTGAGGAGTGGTATCTCAGTAAGCTTTACTCATTACTGATAGCAATTGTCAGCTGACTATGTTTTTCCCATGGAACAGAAAATCGTACAGCTTAGGAACATTGTTAATACAGTAGTTTCGCTCAAAGGAGACATGTTAATGTATTTCATTGACCAATGTAAGCGATCTTGGTTTTCCACACATCAATACGTTTGTGCTAATAGTTACAAATACTATAAATAGAGATCCGGTATCTTTCCTCCTTTCAAGTGGCTGTTTTCATTTTGTTAACCACTTACAAGAGACCAACTATATAAGGGGACTTCATTTTCCCCTCTAAAGTTGTGGCCTTAATAATGGGAAACTAACTAAACTAGCTACCGCTATCACAGTCACTATCACAGTCGCTATCACAGGGCACTATCACACTCTTTAGTGGATATATATTTTAAGTTACTGCGTTCTCTATATCATATCAATGAACCTCTGCGTTATGTAGTTAAAGAGATATCGCAATAATGCCATTAGTCTCAAGCACAGCCGTGAATCAACCATTTTTATCAAGCCATAATACCGATTCAAGTGAATGTAATTTTCCTCACAAATTTAAGTAGCATTGTGCAATGAAATCTTTGATATCCCAATAAAAAACAGGTTTGAGCCATCATATTATAATGCCACTTTTTACACATCTGTGTAGTATTGTGTCAAATAGTCACGTTTGATGACAGGGAAAAACCATCATGCTCTTTGAAGCCATTACAAATTGCAAGATATCAGCTCATAAAGTGAGCCGATTCTCAAAAGACCAAGTTTAATGATCAGAATCCTACCAGAACACACTTACTGTGGATTCATTATTATTCGAGGTGCCTAAGTGGCCGAGCAGTCTAAGTAGTCCAACTACTGTACCACTAGCCAGTCAACACTAAGGTTGTGAGTTCGAATCCCGCATGTTGCAGGTTAACTCAACTCCAATCTTAATTGACTAGGATTGTCAGTTTTCCTACCGAAGGTCGTGGTTCTTTCTGTCCATTCCGGCTTCCTCCCCCAATAAAAACTGACCGCTACAAAATAGCACAATACTGTTGAAGTGGCGTTAAAAACACCAATCAATCGATCAATCATTATTATTCTTGGGATACAAATTCTCTTGGAATTTATGGGAAGAGAATTTGTGGGCATTGATTAACCACGAATTAAAATGTTCAACGAAGTACACATTTTCTATAGGCTTGTATTCAAACTTTGGCAAAAACACGAATTTCAAATATCCACCAAAGTACAAGTTTTCCTCAATCCACGAAAATGGTACCTGTGAAAACAAATGAATCTACAGTATTGCAATCATTTCGCCACAGAAACCTAGCACGGTAACATGTTTTGTACGAGTTAAAACTTTCACGTGTGTTAGCTTTCTTCAACCACTTATCTTTAATATGACAGATGGTTCATCAATCCATTCTTTGATTCCTGAATAAGATTGAAAATTGTGACACCGTATATATGCTCAAGATCATTATCAAGAGTATGCCACAACAGTTAAGCGATTATTTACCTTGTTGACTTAAATCGGACTAACATTAATATTGTGAACCATCTTGAAAGACCATCTTCATTGTAATATAGGAATGTCTTATCAATGACATAACCGCACATGACATCTGCCATGCTGATTCAGAAGAAACCCAAGTGTCCATGGGCCATTTCAGAAGAATCAAGTTATGATGGCTAACATTTATGCTCCTTTGGGCAAATGTCCCAGGTGACCTGTTTAATCATGACAGGAGTAGAAATAAGATACTCTATCCAGCATGGCAACTACAACGAAATCCTTTTAGCCTATGTTGAATAACATATAAATGTTATATGTTCTATCACAATGATCAAACACAAGAAATATTTTGCAGACCAACAGGGTCTGCGCCTTAAGACTGAAATAAGGGAACAACCATTTAACTTCAAGGAGGGGGTTATGGTTTTTTCCTAAAAAAATATTCTGATCCCCAATTTGATGAAAAAAAATACTGTGGTCAAGCAGATGACAAAAAACAATATTCTGAATCAAGATTTTTCCCATACCTTATAGTGTTAAATTTTGAAAAAAAAATTTGATTGATAGCATCAAAAAACTAATAAAAAAAAATTTCTGACTCAGACAAATAAAAACTGCTTCGCTGAGCACAGCTGGATACGCCCGCAGAGGTCCAACCCTGAACAGTTGGGGCAAAAATGGACACAATATTCAAGCTTGATACAGATTTCTTGCTGTTGTGCAATACACTGTGCTGTTGCGCAATACTTAGTAAATCTGTTGTCAGACTATAAACAAATAAAGTTCAATTAATTCTCAATGTCATATTAGAAATTTATGAAAATGTAAAGGGAGCTTACATCAATAGATATAAACAATTCAACAAAGTTTCATGAGAATTGCTGACAGCATTTTTGAGTTGTTGTCCGAAAACTGGAAAATCCCCCCTTTTTTAATGAATAAAACCCCATAACTCAGAAATATAAAATGTAAAATTTATAAAATTCTAAACAGAGCTTACATCAATAGATATAAACAATTCACCAAAGTTTCATACTAACTGCTGAAAGCATTTTTGATTTTTTGTCCTAAAACTTGAAAATCCCCCTTTTTTTATGAATAAAACCCTAGCCTGTAACTCGAAAACGTAAAATCTAAAATATATAAAAATCGAAAGGGAGCTCATGTTAATAGATATAAACAATTCACCACAATTTCTTGCAAGTTGCAAAAGCATTCTTGAGTTATTGTCCGAAAACTGGAAAACCACCCTTTTTATTATGAATAAAACCCCATAACTCGGAAACGTAAAATCTAAAATTTATAAAAAACGAAAGGGAGCTCACGTCAATAGATATAAACAATTCACCAAAGTTTTATGCAAATTGGTTAAAGCTTTTTTGAGTAAATGTCCGACATGTTGACGACGGACGGACGGACAGACGGACGGGTGGACGGACGGACAGACGGACAAGGGTATACCATAATACGTCCCGTAAACGGGCGTATAAAAACCATAATCCCCCTTAAAGTTAAATGGTTGCTCCCTTAGCCATTTGCTGCTTAAATTAACATGCCTTATCGGATAATGTAAATGTATAAACCTTCAGTAATGATTGGCAGGCTATGTTAATCATAGTAAGATTTTGAAGACAAATCAGAAAATGATGTGATGTCATGACATCAGTTTATAAACAGCAAAAAAATACCATTTAACCTAATATTCTGAATAAACTGCTTCGCTGAGCGCAGCTGGATACGCCTGCAGAGGTCCAACCCTGAACAGTTGGTGCAAAAATGGACACAATATTCAAGCTTGATACAGGTCTGAATTTGGATAGTAATTAAATATTTGACATATTAAAGGTTTCTGAATAAATGTAGTCAAAGAACTTGAAATTGGTTATATGAATTGAATTTATATTCAATTAAAGATCTCTTGCTGTTGCGCAATACTTAGTAAATCTGTTGTCAGACTATACCGGTAAACAAATAAAGTTCAATTAATTCTCAGTCATATTAGAAATTTATGAAAATGTAAAAGGAGCCTACATCAATTGATATAAACAATTCACCAAAATTTCATGAGAATTGCTGACAGCATTTTTTGAGTTATTGTCCGAAAACTGGAAAATCCCCCCTTTTTTAATGAATAAAACCCCATAACTCAGAAATGTAAAATGTAAAATTTATAAAATTCTAAAGGGAGCTTACATCAATAGATATAAACAATTCACCAAAGTTTCATAAGAACTGCTGAAGGCATTATGAATTTTTGTCCGAAAACTGGAAAACCCCCCTTTTTTATGAATAAAACCCTGTAACTCGGAAACGTAAAATCTAAAATTTATAAAAATCAAAAGGGAGCTCGTGTCAATAGATATAAACAATTCACCACAATTTCTTGCAAGTTAGTGAAAGCATTCTTGAGTTATTGTCCGAAAACTGGAAAATCCACCTTTTTTAATGAATAAAACCCCACAACTCGGAAACGTATAATCTAAAATTTATAGAAAACGAAAGGGAGCTCACGTCAACAGATATAAACAATTCACCAAAGTTTTATGCAAATTGGTTTAAGCGTTTTTTTAGTTAATGTCCGACATGTTGACGACGGACAGAGGTATACCATAATACGTCCCGTAAACGGGCATATAAAAATGTAAAAAAGGAATCAGAACTTTTTCTTTGAGGAGTGCACAAAAATATTGTTTTTACTCAACCCTTTAATTGTCAAATGCTATCTAAATTCATAACTTGAACAAATTTGGAGCAATCAAGCATTTTCTAATTTGATTCTATTTAAATCATACAATATTCTGCTATGCATTTTATTAAGAAAAGAGGTATAATTTGTACCTTTATTCTTGTGTTCGTAAAGGCAACTCAACACAATATAACTGAACATCATGAAAATTGAAATGACAAACATTCAAAACTGTGCTTGTCTTAAATGGGCTAATCAAATTCATTCAAAAGCATGACTGTGTATGCAAGCTATGAGCCAATAGAAGCATGCTTATTTCTACCCCAACATTTCATGATTAACAGTTCTTTTACAAAAAAGTGGTCTTTCATGACAGATCCCTAAGAATTTATCCATAGATACCTAGTACCAGTCATCCAATCCTTTATTGTGTGCCTTTGGTTATCTTTTAAACTGGAACCTTTAAATGAAAGTATGCATTCCATATCCCCTTTGAAATAGGTTAAATCTTTATTATCTATGTGTCTTTTCAATTCCTTGAGTGAATCAGGCTAACCTTGACATATATATTCTTTGTGAAACAAGGTCAACCTTTCCATTTCATTTGTATAAAACAGCCAATCCTTCTAAAGTCTGTCACACAATTCCATTCCGATTTCCTTCATCACATTAAACTAAATATCCAGATCCTATTTATATCGTGTTGAACAGTTCAACCATGAAACTGAATACATGGATGTATCAAATTAATGTGTCTGCATAATTAATGAAAAATAAGTGTTCCACACTTTTAGCAAAAATTGCAAACGCAGGATGTCGTGAACTTCGTGAACTTCTATAACATTTCACAAGATTTATCACCAAAGTTTTGTGATACACACATCACACTTTTAATTGACAATCAAGATAATTGTTTTGGTTCATGACACAAAGATTGGAAGTGAAAATATATATTAAGTTAAGCTTCATGATTTACACAAAGAAATTACTATAAGAAAAAAACATTAATTAAAAAAAAATATTTAAAATTTATTTTATTGAATAAAATTTAACACAGTAACCTCAATTTCAAACAAGAACTTTTTCTCTATCATTATTTTGATGGTACATATGGTAAGCAAATGCACTTCTCTTACAGTTAACTTTAAAACAATAAATATACATGTATTAAAAACATTTAAGATATGAATTTCTTTTTTTCCAATTTGATATCATCTATCAGGTTTTTTTACGTCAGGTTTTGTTCACATTTTGAGCCTAAGAAAGGGTAGTAAAATATTCCCCTTGTTCATTACAAGGCTTTTATTGGCTTCCACAATCCATTCAAACTGGTAGTGAAATGTTTGTGAAGTATAAATTCCACAGTAAAATGCCTATCAAAACATTAGACATGAAAATTTCCTGATATATTTATGATGTCATTCACTAGTTACATTAAATTCCATCAAAATATCTTTCATTATATACATTATGTACAATATCGACCTTAACTGAAGTTCACGTTTTTCTAATGGCTGGGAAACTGGCGACTATTGCCAGATCCTGACCACATTTGCATCTGTTGATTCGGAATGTTTCCTTGAAACTGATAATCTAATCCTTGACCCCACTGCATTCCATCCCGAGAATTTAATCCAAAGTTGCCCGTGTTGTGACCTAATGAACCCTCAAATGATCGATCCATTTGTCTAGTCAGAGTGGACAGACCCATTGATCCTACTGATACACTTTCCGTAAATCCTAGACCTTGTTGTCTTATGACATTTTCAGTTAGAAATTCTTCATTATAGGTACCTCTTTGAGATCTCATTTGTTGAAAATTTTGAGACATTGAAGTCTGGTCTAGCCCTAGATTATTCATCATCTCTAAGTTCCTGTTTTGTGAAGTGTTACCTGATCTGGAATATTGGATTTCACTGTCAAACAATGACCTTATTTTCCTATCTCTAGCTTGAGGACTAGTACTTATAGACATGGTCCTTGAATCTCTAGGTCCCATTTGATAGCTTGCTTCAGGGTTACCTTGAGAATAAGAGCCTAATGAATCAGCTCTATTGTCATGACTACCATTGTTTACATTTGAAGATGGTTTCCCACCTCTGTGCCTATTTCTATTGCGAACTCTGTTTCTTCTCCTCTTAAATTTTGTATCTGAAAGATTTGACCTTTGGTTATTAGTGTTCTGCAAAGTGTCTGCTCTCTGAAATAGTGAATTTTCTGAGAGACTAGTCCTTCTTGCATGCATATTTCTTAAATTTCGATTACTATTTTGTGGCTTTGATTGGGAGCTATTTATTGTAAACGTTTCAGAATTCAGAATTTCTGTTGATTTGTTGGATGAATTTTGAAAAAAGTCTAAAGTCAGATGATCCATAGAAGAAGATTTTCCAGCCGGTGGAAATGCAGAAAGTATGCTCATTCGTCTCTTTTCATCTAATAAGCTTATTAAAATAAGTAAAGGTCTCCAGTGAATCAGACCAGCGGGGGAATTAATTGGATTCAAACTAAACCGGTCCGGCTCCTTCCAATCTTGATCTCTGCAAACTTCCACCATGGCCCAATGACAGGAGGCCAACTCCTCATTTTTTGGAACATCAATACCTATACCATTGACAAGATCCATTAAGGCATTGAATGAACCTTGAGGTCCAAGAATGGCCATTTTCAATGCACGAAGGGCTGCAACACGAGTTGGGGTCACATTTGCTTGACTGATTTTATCTGAATCTTCAACGGTTTTAAATATGCCTGGTAAATGTTTTTGAGATGCATGATAGTACAGATCATTACACTCAATAAAGCACCCTGGAATGGGACACTTTTCAAGCTTTCCCTGAAAGGGTCTGCCTTTTCTGGTATTAGATTCCTCCCTTTCTGGATAGCCTATCCTGTGATTTTGTTCCTCCTGATCCCTCCAATCAAATTCTCGAGAAGGAAAGTCCTCCATTACATTTCTTCCTCTCAGAGAGTCCTTCACAAATTTGTCTCGTTTGGAATCATCCCTCCAATCAAACTCTTGAGAAGGATGATCTTCTGTTACATTCCTTCTTCGGAAAGTGTCCTTCACAAATTTATCTCGTTCAAAATCATCCCTCCAATCTAATTCCCTAGAAGGAAAATCTTCCTTTTCAGTCCTTCCTCTCAGAGTGTCCTTCACAAATTTGTCTCGTTCAGAATTATCCCTCCAATCAAACTCTTGGGAAGGACGATCTTCCATTAAATTCCTTCCTCTTAGAGTGTCCTTCACAAATCTATCTCGTTCAAAATCATTTTGTCTGTCCATCAATCCACTTTCTCGATGCTCAAATTCACCAAAACCCCTATCATGCCTATCAAATTCATTGGCATTATTTTCCCCATTCATTGGAAAGTCTCTTCTTAAGAATCGGTCACCTTCCATGGATGAAAAGTCCCTTCTGAAATCAATCTCCTCATTTCTTAAGTTAGCCAGATCTCGACTTTGGACAACTTCATCATCCTCCATAAGAACAGGACCACCTCCCAAACCCTGTCTGTTTCCTCTTTCTGATCGGCTCATGTGAAAATCAGGGTAATCTTCCACAAAATCTCTTCTCTCCGGTGCAAAGTGTGAACCTTGTTTTATCATTTCCAAATGACTACGATGCATGTCATTTGGTCTTCCCATAGAAAAGTTGGAATGATCTCTCATCATTTGACTGCGTTCGACATCATCAATATCAAAAGGTCTTCTAATGAAATCTTGCTGTTCATCATACCCTCCTCTCATTCGTTCCCTTTCTTCATTAAACAGGACATCATGACGTCTTCTCAGAAATTCATCTTCATCATGATGGAAGTTAAAGCGTTCTCTTCTCATGTCATTATGTTCAAATCCAAAGTTAAAAGGTTCTCTCATGAAGTCATTCTGCCTATGTCCAAAATCAACCGCTTCCCTAAAAAAACCTCTATTTTCAGGGTTGATATCAGAATTTTGTGCATTGAAATTCATCGGTCCCATCATCAAATCTCCCCGATTCATTTGAAAAGGGTCATTTGATCCAAATGATTGACCAGCAAAGTTCTGTCTCATGACGGGAGAAGGAAAAGCTGGGCCAAAATTTCGTCTATCAGCTGCAGCAGCTATTGCACGAGCAGCCTGTCTCAATCTTCGAGCACGGCGTCCTGCAGAGCTTTCTTGAAATCTTTTCTTCCGAAAACGCCCATACTTTGAGTCTGCTTTTTTATGAGAAGATTGTGCCATTTTGCTTTTGTTTTCTTCCATTTGAGGCTTTGCAGCACCTTCAGCGGCCTGCTTTGCAGCTTTGCGCTGTTTTTGAGATGGTCTGTTTCTTCTCCTATTTCTCTGCCTTAATAAATTGGACCCAGTCTTATTGGCTGGTGATTTCCCAAGATCCTTCTGTGAATATCAAGAAATTTGACTGATTAATTGGTGCTTTTATGTCTGTCAGTAATTTCATGCAAATACTTTTAGAAAAAAGGAAAATTATTTAAAGATCCTCATTAATTTTCAATTTACTCACCAAAACAAAAATAAATGGAGAATGTGTCTATGGGACACAGATGATGCCCCCACTTGCATATAAGTTATAAAGGGGCATAATTCAAGAACGGTAAAAGTGATGCCACCAAAATTTGAACTTGATGTTTTATGGTAATAAGCATTGTGTATAAGTTTCATAACATTTGGTTGAGGCAAACTGAAGTTAGAGAACGGAAACCAATTGCAGGACATACAGACGGACAAGGGTAATGTTAATGTCCCCTCCGGTGATGGCATGGGGACAAAAATATACATAAATTTAAACTGGATGATAATGGTGATGATGAAATGGTGTTTAATGTCCAGTTGTGATTATTGCATGCATATTAGGATGAGAACATGTTAATGTAAAATCAATATTAAATCCACATTGTAATAGACGAACATGTTGAGCTTGGTTACCATGGTTACTGTTGATTCATTATTTATCATTGGAATCTAATTTTTGTGGATTTCATGGGTACAGTAATAAACATAAACATTGTCTGCACCAGATGCGCATTTCAACAATCAATGTCTCTTCAGTGATGTTTGAGGCCAAAATATTTGAAAATCTAAAGCTAATTAAAAAGATGAAGAGCTTTAAACCAAAAAAGAATTAAAAGATATACAGGTTTAGCCATAAATAGAAATGTTCAGCGAATTACATATTTTCTATAGGAATATATGCTGACTTTGTCAAAACAACGAAATCAAATATCCACGATATTGAGTTTTCCTCAATCCACAGCAATTCACAATATAACTGTCTGCAGGAAGACATGTCACCATATCTGGACATATCATTCTGCTTCTAAGTCAACCAGTCTTTGCTTCTACTATTTTTGCATATCATTATTTCCAAGGGGCATTACTCGTTTAAAAAAAGTTGATATGCACTGATTTTTTATCTTGTCTGAGACATTGCTGATATAAACCTTTGATATAAATTTCATAAAAGTCTGGATAGAATTGTACACATAAGCACGCTTACAAGACTGGATGGGTGGAGGCCCAATATTTCTATGTCGCCTCACAACCTATAGTTCGGGTGACAATAAAAGGTAAAGTGGCATATTTTTAATTACTTGGCATCAATACACTAAAATAAAACATTCATCAACATGATCAACATGACCAAAGAGATAAATGTCAGATTTTCAATATTCAAAAGTCATCATGATAAATGACAACTAAGTTGACAAAATTGACCTTACATGTAGATGGATTTGGCTTTTTTTAAGGTTCTTTTTAGTCATATTAGCCTCTTCAAATGTATGGTAATTATACATCCTTGGCTTTCAAATATTGGGCTTTTAGCATTCCTGTTGAAGGTAAATCCAGAAAAATGCTTCGAATGCATTAAAATTATATGTTTTCATTTTCTATAAATTAAAAAATACATTTAGCACATGTATATCAATTCAATCTAGTGAGCCAAACAATAACATTATATTTATAAGTAAATAGGGTCAGATTATCAAACACTGTAATAGTTTTATGATCCCTCTCATTTGGCTTTCCAGATATATATATGTGAATTATTATTACAACACATTAATCTTATTTTATAAAATGTTTACTTTAAATGATCTTTCAGGGGCCTCGGTGGCTGAGTGGTCTAAGTAATACAGCGATCACTAGCTAGCCTGTCAACACTGAGGTTGTGAGTTTGAACTGGCTTGTGGCAGGTGTGTAGGACTCCAATCTTAATTGACTAGGAATGCCAGTTTCCTGCCTAAGGTCATGGAATTACGAAGAACACAAAATATTTTAATTGATTGTCATCTGCTAAGTGAATGCCACATCATACAAACTAAAAGTACATCAACCAGTTTTAAAATACCTGACTCTGTTGACCAGATCCTGGCTTCTCACTGGTAACTGACTTAATGGCATGGTCTTGTGGTTCCTACAAATATATTTATCAATTATGGACTTTTGTCGAGGTCAATAGGTTATATATGGACCTGGTCAGATTATATAACGTATTGACTGAGAGAA